AAAAAAAGCCTTGCAATAAAAAGAGCATTGGTTCTGTTATTTGTATCCAATCATATTAAGTCTCAATCTTCTTATCATTTTTCTCAAATAATGAATATTTCAGATTCATTTAGTCATGCAATTATTTAATACTTATATTGTCATTATGGTGTCTATTTGAATACTGATGTAATCGAAAATACACCTAAACATTTTTTCACGTCCATGATTCCTGTTTATTTACACATTAACCCGAATTTGTTTGCAATTTAGAATCTAATAATAATTTCATAAAAAAAAATCCGATACGTGTACATAACTTCACGCACGGCTATAATTGATATGAATGTAAAGCCACAGGGGTTCGCATTTTGGTGCATTCTGTTTCTTTTCTCTTGTCGATTATTGTAGATATCAGTTAATTGAATCAAATATGTATATAAAATGATTTAAGACATTCATAAAACATTCTTCAATATTATTTACGAAACAGTAGTTAAAAATAATATAGAAATATCTGATCTAATACTTTAAGAAAAGGGTGGTGCTTTTTGGTTTTTAGTTTATGTGGTGCTTTTTGGTTCAAAGAAATTTTGTAAACTAGAATGCATGTACAAGCAATAGTGATACTAAAATTGATTAACAGTTTAAGCATTAAAAAGTCAAAACTGGGAATTTAATATATTAAATCAAATAATTAATCATGAAATATAAACTATTTAAAGTGGACGTTTTTGCACTGTATAATAAATTAATCTTATACTTCAATCGTACATGAGTATATGAAAGTTTCTTAAAATGCATTTCATGCCAACATAAAATTTGGATTAGTACGTTATTAATGTATTTAGTGTCAAATTAAAGCATGTGGACCAATTGTATATGACGCTTTACAAGTCGTAATATTATTTTAAATGGTATACACGTTAAATCAAATTATCTTTTTCGCCAGTTACTTTAAATGCATTATATGTAAATTACATTTTTTGTAACCATTTATCATTATAAATTCCCTTCTTTCAGTAAAGGTTCCTGACAGTGTTTTTAGGAGACTTCAAAACTTCCACAAATTGCCACAGATATAAGTGTTTAAAAAAAATCAAAATTTCTCTACAGATTATACACATACAAGATGACTAGTGGGATGTAAAATTGTTTCGCAGCTGCAATGTGCATTTTATCTACCATTTAAACAATTAATGTTTGTTATAATGATCTATCATATACGAGTTTCATGTTCATTCAGGAATGCCTAAGCCTTTTTTTAGTGTTAACTTTTCAATTTCATAGCATTTTATTGCAGACATCTCAGTTACACACATTTTAAAATTTTAATTTTTAAACATCAGCATATTTTCAGTTAGAAGTGATCTGATTTAATTGGCAGTTTACATGTATTTGTGTGCACACATCTCTCATTGGTCTTTAGGCCATACAAAAACCATGTAACATGAACTTACAACTATTTATTTTTTTATTGCGTACTGTTTAATAAAATGAACTATAAAAATTAAAGTACATACGATATCGTTTGATAATATATTATATTGTCAATTTGTTCTTGGCACATAAGTTTTCTCAAACTTAAAATAATTTAAACTCGAATAGCAAATATGAGTAATGATTTGATAGATAATCAAAACAAGTTATCCTAGACGGACAAAATGCAAATCCTGTGGTTATAATTCCTATAATTTAAAATAATGTATTGTGTTGCCAGACGCTTATAGTTGGATAAAATGTATAAATATTTTACACATATCTCAATCGGTTAAAGTCAATACCTGCAAGCATATTTACAATACAAGCGATATAAAAAATCATCATGATATTATATATACTCGTATGTATAGAATGACTAGTTCATAACTGCATTTCATTAATTATTACTTTTCTTCAAATCTAAAATACAAATAAATATATTATTCAATTAAACTTGAGACTCTTTATTCAATGACGGTATATTGGTATATTAATATTTTAACCAAAATGATGTTCTTGACCGGAAGTATGATAAACCACTATATCACAAAAGGTGAGATGGGCATCCTTAGGGTGATTTTTGTGACATAAATGGCATAGCCAGAACAACAGCAAGCCTTCTATTGAAACAGGCAATCTTAGTAAAATCATAAGTTACCACATAAGTCTTAAGTATAATGATTACTTTTACAGTAATATTAAATGACTGTTTTGGTTTTGGAATCGACCGTGAACACTAATTTCAGATACTCGCCTAACAAGGAAAAAGAAAAACACCATGATATAAGTATCATATTTTATTTGAAGAGTACATAAAAGTTAGATAACTGCAAAGTTTTATGTCGGAATAATTCGTATGTAGTTGCCTTTCTTTTTATCAAATTACACTGTAAAGTCTAACATTATCTACATGTCTTAATAAATACATAAATATTTACAGTTTTAACACATTCAATTTTTAAATTGTTTGTCAATGGTTTGTCGTTTTTCATGATAAGTTTTATTTGTTTGTGCAATTGAAAAAATCGCTTGTCTATCATAATATTCTTAGAAAATAACAGCCAAATTGATATAATTTTCAGTTCTTGCATACATGTATATATTTCCAATATTTTAAGTTACTTATAGTTATACATGTATTTGTACAGTAATGTAAGTACTGTTTTGGTATAGTTAATCATAACTTTCGTATGTTATATAATAACAAAATTATGAAATGCATTGACATAATTATTGTTTCTTATCAAAGAATTCTATTTTTCTGCCAAAGGATAAAAAATATTAGTAGTATTTAATACAATGAATTGCACTGCTATACGCGTAGTTACATGTTGTAGTTTGAATTGTAAGTATTTAAGAGCTGTTTTTGTTTTTTTGTTTTTTGGAAAATGAAGAAGGAACAGCCTTAAATGAAAAGGAAATATAAGGTGTTGGTGGTTTGGATTTATGTAGTATATTCACAATACAACAATGTACGTTTGTGGGCTTTCTGCAAATTTTCATTTTTTTCCATAAAATATCTACCGAGCATTTTCAAACTTTTAAAATTGCCCAATCAAAGTTGCTTACGAACCAACACTTAAGTACATAGTTTTACACAATAGTCTTTTATAGTAAAATCGTGTTAGCCTTTTCATTAAAAAGATTTCCTTGCTTTAATTTGAAGGTAATAATGAATATGTTATCGTGATGTACAATTTTTAGTCATCACACTAAAATGCCTTTCTAACGACACCAATATCTTTGTCATTCTTGCATCTCTAAATACATTAAAGAAAACCGTATTTAAGTTACATTTAGTATGTTTTGAAAGACGAGTAAAATCTACTAAATCTTGAGTTAAAGTAGGTTTGTGACAGCAGGTGAGTCTGGGACAAGTAACTTCAAACAGATAAAATGTGAGCTTGATTTCTCCTAGCACGTAATTATAATGCATACATGTACACCAATGCTGGAATCCTGTTTCATCTGTAATTGTTTGTCAGTCTAATTGGGACGCCTAAAGAGACTTACACACGCTGTCATATAATAAATGGTCGACTGACTCGTCGTTTAATCCTCGCTTTTTGTTCTGCTTCTAAGTTGATGGATGATTAAAGGGATAAAATCTCTAGAAACTTAAGTCACAGTACGTTTGTTAGTGTGTAAGTTTTTTATGTTTCCCATTTCCCTTTATGGCTGAAGGGTTGCCTTTAAGGTTCGGGTCATTAGAATGGCTCGATGATCGTAAGAGGCGGCTAAATGGGTTCGAATTACTGGAGTCTATGCAACTCTTAGCTCCAGCAGGTGAGGTGGTTTTGACCCCTGGTTGTTGCTTTAAGTTTCTAACACAAGGTTAGTTAAAATCATCTTTCCTGTTTCTGCGCCATATGACCAAATCTTACTAAAGTTCAGATCTACTTATTTCTTTTATGTAGATCTGAAGACGACCGTATATATTTCGCCTTCTTATAATTCGGATTTCCCGAGAGAGCTATTTTTAGCCATGCAATTAAACCGGTTTTTACAAAGGCATTAGAAGAAGTATCAAAATATCGTTGAACGTGAAAGTTAAACAAATTGTTTGAAGTATTTTTTTAACAAATTACTTGAAAAAAAGTCAATTTTTATAGGGCAATATTGTTTTGCCAGTTTACCTGTCAGCTATATGTGGACAACGCCATGTTTGTTCTCTAAATCATTAAATTTAAAACTCAGTATTGGTTTTTCAGGGTTAAAACTTGCGGCGCGTTTTTTAGAGCTGATTTCAATCTGATTGCCATATGACCTTAATTAAGCCGTAAAAAGAAACATAAAGGAATATAAGATCAACCTCTGGGCTTACAAACTTTTTAAAGCGATCATTAGAAATTGTTTAACATAACAAATAAACAGCATGACACAAACCACTGATGAAGCATAAATAACCGTCCATATGTAGGCATGCAGGCAAATGCCGTATACTAGTAAGTTGCGGCATTGCAAAGTGGTTAACGCGTCGGACTAGTTATATAATGATCGCTAGACGCAAGTCATCGTTTCCTTGAGCAAGAAACTTTACACTCATTGGTCGGTGCTGATTGGTCCCTCGAACGAATTCAAAAGTGTGTATATGTTTCTTATAGCTTCCTACACAATCGAACTAAAGTAATTCTGTATAAGCCAAATGCCATATATGTCATATAACGATCCCATTAATATTGTACATTATTATAAGTGATGTGCAAACATAATATATTAACAAGGTTTTTGCCTTTTAGTCAATGGCAATATACATTGATATTTAACATTTTTGTACTGTTAACAGTTCCACATAGATAGTCAAATCAGCGTTTGTTTGTATTTTGTCGGTTTGTTGTTGTTTTTTTTTTTCTTTTGTTGTTGTTGTTTTTTGCCAAACTTGCAAGGTACATGAAAGTACGAGTATTGGCGCACTGAAAGATCTATTTAAAATACAGTTATTATTAGTTTTGTTATACTTAAATATCAAAAGAAATTAATGTGTACACGAATACGTCACCTGGAATAGTAGAGGATACCAAAGAAAAACAACAAGCAAAGAGTTGGTGAATTGATAACCCCAATCACGTGATTGAAGCTTCTTAGTTTAATATACTTCAGAGCATCATTATGATACAAAGCTTACAAATATTAGCAGTATTTAGTACAAAAGACAGCATTTCAAAATGAAATCGCATTAATACATTATTTCGACATTTTAAATGTCATTTGGCCATTCTTTAAAAAATATGTATTTAATACATACAATTTTCAAAACAAGGATTCACGTATATATAAAGGAAATTTCAATATTAATGCTCTAATAATCAAATCAATCATTCCAATTGGACCAAGGAAAAAGCGTAAATTAAATATAAATTTTGATTTTCTATAATTGCAGATTGTGAAGTTACTATATAATAGCATGCTTCTATTAATAAAATAGTTTTATTTAACTTCACTATAACAATTCTAAAATATCATTCATATTAATTTTTGTCTGTCGAATTGTAGTAATTTAAGAAATATGCCTCAGAAATAAATGCATATGAAAATAAATCATTAAAAGTGCAATAACTAGTGTAAAAGGAAAAACAATAACTCCAAAACTATACAAAATACAGGATAATGGTTCTTGGAAAATGGATTTACTTTAATAAGATCAATCAATCTATGAATCTCTTATTCCTCTTCAGATTTGCTCCCGAGAAAGAATAAATGTGAAAAATTACAAAGGTCAATAACTAAATGTAAAAATAACAAAGGGCAGAAGCTTAACAAATACGTAAGAGAGCTATGTTTAAAACAGTGCGCTCCCTTTAATTAGCTCAATCCAGCTTTAAAATTTCAAGTTGTTATTTCCCATACCTTTTTGGCTATATCCTCGACTAAAAGTAAGTAACGTAGGAATACGAAGGGCATTTACAACACCGAATAGTTGTGGTTCGTTAAAAGTTTAAAACTGCGCTTTCTAAGATGTGACCTATCTATCTATTAAGATTCAAGTAATTATATGCGACATAGCTTTATGCCTAATAAGATCTTTCGGTATAAAAACACAAAAGGCAATTATTCAAAGTTATACAATTATAAAATATTCTTGTAAACTGATTCGTCTATAAGATATGTTCATCTCCTTTTATTCCTTTTAGATATAAAGAATGGCAAAGGGCAAAAACTCATATATAATTCTTATGAAAGTGATTATTCTGATGCACTGCACTTCTCTTTTATGATATATATACATTAATGAAGTTTCAGGTTGGTATGTCAATTTCTTCTTTAGTTATACCCCGAAAAACGCATTAAATAATTGAAAGGGAAATAACTAAAAAAAATGGCAAAAAGAAAAAGAGTAACGATCTTGGTAAATTCATTTCCTCTCAATAACCTGAAACACCACATGAAATTTAATAATGTTTATAACTGAAAAAGTTAGCGTGTTATGCCCCGGTTACGAGCAGACGAAGGAAAATCCGGTCAGAAAAAATAAGGACGGACAACGTCAAATCGGTATCCCTCAGTAAACCGACGAGGGGATACAATCAAACACTGTGACTAGTTACATATGAAAAAAAATTATTTGACAATATTTGGCAATCCTTTCATTTGGCAAAATTTGATCCCGCAGATACAAGCAAACATATACACAAAACATATTTTCAGAAACGATAGATGTTTGTTCTAAAAAGTAAGTTTGATAAAGTTTTTCCAATAATTACTCAAACATACACAATAATATAACCAAGCGGACACAGTCAACGCATATGCTCAAGAAATAGTCATCTTTGCAAAAAAAGTTATCAACAGCTTATTTACAAAGATTTTATCCAAATTAGATCAAAACCACTCAAGAAAGTAGAATGTTATGACTATTATTTCAACTGATGTAATAAATGTGTATGCAAACTAGTGGTTTAACTTTCTTTTTCCTCAATTGCAGTATAAGGTTGTTTTTCGGTATTTGACAATCTGACACTCTTTCGGTTGTACAAACTTGCACGCTTCCATTGCTGGACCTCATTGTGTTTTTTCCGAGCAAAGAATCCACACTGAAAATATACTATATGTGTTTAAAATGTGTTGATGCCTATTACGATTCGTCCACACCTCATATCTGTACGACCCGTAGCTTTAATGAAACTTTGGTAAATAAACTAAATAGAATCTATTAAAGTTTTAAGATACATTATGTTTCAAACAATCGTCTTCGTACACAATGTTTTTTTTTTATTGCAAATGCTATATTTTTAACATGGCAGCAGAGAAAAAGTCCAGCATACAGCTGATTGACACACACATGATACGAGACCATTTTCTTTTTGAAAAGATATGTTAGAAATTTTATTTACTATCCCAAATGTTATGGTTTACTATTTACTGTTGATCTACGGTTTATTGTGAGATGTTGAACTATTAATTTGATTTATTACATACTTTTCGGTGGTTTATAGAAATATATCGGTGAAATAAAAACTGATAATTTCACTGTTTTAAACAGTTAAACAGTGAACCTATCAATTTGATAATTTCAGTGTTTTGAATATTTAAGCCAGTTACGTTGTTTCAGTGAAATACAAGCGTTCACAGTACTGGAAACCAACTTAATGACGTGACGTCGGAAAAGACGTCACGTTGTATTATTATTTGGCGCCCTTTTATTTAGTACTAGGTTAAAATGTTATTTTAAACGTTTCTTTGCATATAACAAAAAAGAAAATTTGTTTAGTTTAATGTAAGATCGACATATATTTTACCTTGTGAACACCAAAAGTTCATATTTCACTCGTGGCTGCTCAACTCGTGAAATATACCTTTTGGTGCTCACTCGGTGAAATATATTCCGATCTTACACTGCACTAAACAAATATCCTCTATATCATAATTGAAACAAAACATCAAGAAAAGTAATCCGATCTAACGTTTCTTAATTTGTTAGTGTGTGTTTTTTTTATGAATTTTAAGCCGATTTTGAAATATAATTTGGTTATATTACGGCGGTCAATCCACCTAACCGGTTTTCCTGGATAACTAACCAGTAATTACCAACCGTTTTCCTGGATAACTAATCAGTAATTACCAATGGTTTTTCTTGATAACTAACCAGTAATTACCAACGGTTTTTCTGGATAACTCGCCAGTAATAACCAACCATTTTCCTGGATAACAAAACCAGTAATTACCAACGGTTTTCCTGGATAACTAACCAGTAATTACCAACGGTTTTCCTTGATAACCTACCAGTAATTACCAACGGTTTTCCTGGATAACTAACCAGTAATTACCAACGGTTTTCCTTGATAACCTACCAGTAATTACCAACGGTTTTCCTGGATACTTAACCAGTAATTACCAACCGTTTTCCTGGATAACTAACCAGTAATTAACAACGGTCTTCCTGGATAACTCGTCAGTTACATGTATTACCAATACCCCCTCCACAATTAACCTACCTTCCAAAGAATTATGATGACAATAATAAGAAGAGCCACGGCACCAAGAACGCTTCCTATAATTATCCAAATGTCCACCTCTGATACAACAGATGTAGGTTCGACGACAAATGTCGTCCATTTCTGGAATACATTGATTTATTGTGTTGTATTAAACTTTAAGGGACTCCACTGAGGTTTAAAAGCGTAAAAACATAACATTTGAATTTAAAAATGAGCTGGGGCACTTTAAACAGAAATATTTGCAAAGATAGTTAAGAAATACTTTGAAATAAATTGAAAATCGTATTTCTATGCCTTTTTTTAGCCCGATTTGAGTGAAAAGTGTTTAAACGCTTTTCATTTTGGGTAATTCTTTTACAATTTGAATAATTATTCTGGAAAAATGAAGCGCCCGAATGATCTGAAATTTTGCACAAAGATCATGGTCTAAATCGACATCAAATGGTACATTTATCTGGAAAAAATATTTTCAGTCCCACCATGCAAAATAACCTCAGTGGACTCCCTTTAAAGCGTAGCATTGATAAAATATATTATATTCAAATATACAGACACAACAGAAAAGTAATAAAGTTATATAAAGTTATTAAATGTGCTAAAAATTGCAGTTTTATGTGACATTTTAA